AGATTCCATAAAATTCGTTATATTCCCAGAATATTCTGGGAACGATTGCTTGTTTGGATTCATAATTGGCGGTGGAAGCCCCGTATATTGATTCGATAGAATCAAATATTCCCGACATTTTCCTTCAATTAGACTGTTCCCTGACCCACAATCAATATTTTCCCACGACTCTTTCAAAACGAACAGGAAAAAATGACAAAAATTATTCGGATTTCTACAAAAACAAATCCAACTCCCCCGAGATAAAATTTTATAATTGTCATCGACTTTGCCAGGAAATATCTTTGAACACCATCAAGCATCGATAACTTTTCCGATTACCCACCCCTAGGGCTCGGTCAGATAAATGCCACTTGGATGAAATAATATTTCTCAAACTGGACAAATAATCCCAAGATAAAAATAAAAGGTCTCAAACTTTTGGAGAAGTTCAAGAGACCATGGAAGATGAAATACAGGGCGCATTGGGACACTCGAATAAATAATAAATCAGGATCAAGTTTTTCGTTAAAAGTTTTTTTCAAACCACACTCACCAGAGAGCTACGTCCTCGGAAGCTATCTCAAGGTAGCGATAAAAGTAAAGGAGTTTTAATTCCCCAGTGACATTTTTCAAACACATACAGAACTCTTGGACACCACCAGGATAAACAATTGAACACGTGAGCGATGAAAATAAGATCAATTCTTCATGTTTGTTCTTCCCACTTGAGTCTGCAAGCAACAGGGAATCGCCTGTCTCTTTCAATTCAATGAAAGGATTGAGTTTCTTTTATTGGAGAAGATCGAGAAACGTTTGGCTCAAGTTGGATGCAGCAACTGCTGATGATTCTAGTGAACAGAGTTAATGAAAATAGAAGTCGTCCTACAGGAGTTAAATCTACTCCGACTTTCTGCAATCAGAAGTGTTTATCAAATAACCTTTGAGAGAATCCCATTTATTTTCAGGCGATTAACACACATCATCTTCGTCATTCGTAATTTCAATCTGGATGAACTTCTTTCGTTGCATTATCCACAATATGTTGCTCTTAATTTAAGACCAAAATTTTCCTTCTCTTCTAGAAATAATCATTTCAAAGGTACATAAGGAATGAAAAAATGATTGGAGCATGATAATTGAATCATCAAGTCAAATCCACGATGAAGAACGAAAAATTGTGATGGTGACCATCACTAGCTAAACTCCAACTAAACGACTGCTGTTTGTCAGAACTCAATCCCACCTAATTCAGCAACACTCCAGGATTTTCTCTCCAGCAGTATCAACTGTATCAGCATATCTAATGATATCACCCGCACCTTATTCAACCGGTGTTAATGTTAGAATCAGCTAAAGCTCTTTTGCTCACATTTTGGCGAGTTACACTAAGCCAGTTTCACGTGTTTCACAATCTCGGGTGAAACAATCAAGTGGCTGCACTTGCAGGTAAAAGCCCTCAGGACGAATCCAAGTTACACTACATCCAAGTTTATTTTAGCCTTCTCCATCCAACCTTCTACCAGTTGAAAAGGTATATCGCGGTGTTGGTATAGTTTTTTCAAAAGCCCCTGTGGCTTTTATCTGTGTTTTGTCTCCTTTGTCTTTTTCCACCATTTCAGTCTTTATTTCGATGGGTTTTTCTTTTTCTTTGTTGTTTTCACCACTGCAAAATCTGACGGGAATTATCCGAGTTTGCCGTTATGCATATCGCTGGCGATATGCTTCAACCATACAACTGGCAGAAATTGTTTCACCGTCTCTCTCTTGTCCTCTCGAGATTCACCCATTGTCTGCCCTGGACTCTTCGGGGAGGAGAATCATTTTATCGGAAATACGATAAACATAAAGGCGAAACGGAAATTGGGTTAGAGGGCAGAATGTATCTAATCGAATGTTCAAGTCACCAACGTCCGACTCAGTCGAGGGTCTTCGGTATCGCTTCGGTGTGTGCATATACCGTATTTGGACTCAGGAAATTGGCAAAATCTAAATAGAGCAAGGAAGAGTGACGAGGAAATAAAACAAACCCTTGAAAAAAGCAGAAGAAGATACGATTCAATCATTGAACTATTAAATTCAATCTATTATACTCCATGAGATCACTGTCTGGATGGGCATGGGCTCGTTGACCAAAATAAATAAATAAATAAATAAATAGATCATATATAAAATATAAACCATAATTGATATGTGAGAATATATTGTAATAAAATATACTTGAATTGCTCTTCCATGGGAATGGCATTTATTTATTAAACCTGCCTTCTACAAAAAAAAATGAAGCTTTTTGACAATCTAGTCTCCACGTTTTATCTACTTTTTGAATTTGTAAATTCATCGGGAATAAATTTATTTTATATGGATTTTTGGATTATATGAAACATGCAGTATACAATTAAATCGCGTGGATAAGTGCAAAACCTGAAATTGATCAATAAATTCGTCAATCTATTAAATTTCTAAATGCATTATTATTTATTATTATTTTATTATTAGTATTTTGCATTCAATAAATTCACTCCACCCTCGAAGATCATTAACATGAAGTATTATTCTTCGGTAGAATTTCCATATTTGAAAGCTCTTGATGAAACGAAACAATCAATGCAAATTGCAACTAATTGCTGGTAGTTCAATCTCGGGAATGGTTTGTAAAATTAATCGCTGACCTCGTACCTTGAGAATAAAAAAAATCCACTGGGATTTGGTGCATCAGACGGTCAAATGGCTAACGCAAGCGCGTTTTCCTCATTCCCGAATGTGAAATATCGCGTAACGCGGAAGTTATAAATCAAGCTGTACGAGACGACCCAGAAACAGACGCTGGGGAATCCCCTGCTGGTTCCGGGTGGGCCCCAGCTATGTAATTTCATTTTATCTACAGACCAAACGACGTATCAACGGATATTCCCCCCTTGGTATTCTAACACCACCTCGGTACAGCCATTCTCTCTTTGTCTAGCGCCTGGAATTTCCCTTTTGCCATGTCCCCCGATAAATAGGAATATCTTCGACTCCCTGGTGTATATAAACAAAAGGTACTATTTTATTCATATGTCCCTTATACCCCTCCACGAGGTTATCTCCTGGCACAATTGCCTGCCATTTGCTTTCAATAAACACATAGACACAAATAATCAATAAAAATTTCATTAATTTTCGGCAATCCTGAATAAAATGTTTCCTTTCAAATAACTACAGTATATGAATATACAATATCATTAAAATAATCATAACAATTTTTAATTGAAAATTCGGGATTTAATTGGAAGAAAATTACATGTATGTATATATATTCGGAAAAAATAAGTATATAAACAAAAAAAAATTATAGTATATTTCATTTATCGAGTGCATTTTTTTTAAAGTCCCCACATGATAATTGAATGTTCGTGTAAAAAATTTTACGGCACGGTTAAACGATTTTTACGTGAATTTCCGTTTTTTTCTAGTTTTGCGGAATTTTTATTAGTGTTTATGAATAAAAAATTATGAGACTCCCTCAAATCGTCGAAGACTTTTCTTTAACTATAAAATAATGACAATTGTCGTTTTAACTGGCGGAAAGAGCGAATGGAAAGAAAAAAAACCGAGATAACTATTGGTCAATTAAGCAAGATGTATTCGGTGCCATATATGTCTACTTTTACGGCTTTATGAATCCGTGTGGAAATTTCCCCTTTCCATAGGTTCATGGAATCCTCTTAAAAGAATCCATATAGCTGTATTTTTCGCCGTTTTTCACGGTAATGCTTAATTATGGCTAGTAATTACGATGATCAATATTTTTTCTTAATTGATGATTTTAGTTATGATTTCATAACATAAATACCTAATTCTCCAGCACAGGGAGCTCCAATTGTCTCTTTAATCTGCAAAACCCGTATTAATTTTATCTTCTCATTTTTTTTTCACGTGAAGCATAATGTAAAATTCATTACTCGTTAGTATTAACGAGAATTGAACCTAAAGTAGGATCTTCCCCTGAAAATTGAATCGTGAACAGAAATTCGAGGAGACCTCCAACTTCCAAGTTCACCTATTCATGAATCTTTAAAGAAATTTGACTGTAATATCCTGTTGGAAACTTCTCAGAATTTGCACTCTGAATCCTGAAGGGAGAGATTACTTCAGCGAAATATTCGTCGTGGTTTGAAGCTATTGTTCCGTAATGAAATAAAATGTCAACTTCACAAACGCTAATTTCCGCAAACTATTTTCCATTACTCTATCTTGAGAAATTAAGAGAGCGCAGAAATAATATTTCATTCATCAAATGCTTGTAAGTGTCTCTGTGATTGCAAATTTTTTTGATAATGTGAAAAAATTGTTTCCTCATTGAGACAAATGAGAAAAATTATGACGACTTTTTGAAAAGTATGGATTACTAAATAGAAAAGATGGTTGAATTCTGTTGGTACATCCAAAAGATTCACATTTTGTAAATGGGCCAACGAATCATTATCTCTGATAATTAAATCGCAAGTAGTACATTGCGTACGGTATAAAGACAAAATGTTGAATAGAAAGGAAAAAGTGGATGAATGTTTATAAAAGTAAGATAGATGATGCGAAATACTCTGAGGTGAATCAAGGAATATAGACTGCAAAAATAATTATACAATTAACAACGCAACGTAAATGTAAAAAAAAAACCTAAAAAATTGATTAAGAATAAGTTGATTCTGAAAGTGAGACAAAAATTCATCCACAGGAGATTAATTACAATTAGCATGTATTAATTTGTTTGATAATTTTCCATAGATCTGTCGGTTTCAAACTAAAAAATATTGCAAAAATATTGTCCAATCGAAAAATGTGAAAAGTATGAATAATTTGAAAAAAAACGAGATTCAATAAATATCTAGATAATAATTATGTAGAGATAAACGCAGAGTTTTAAGGGATCGATTTAATTCTGTCCTGCCACCGTCTGTTGGTTTTAAAGATTTCGCAACGCGAAATAGTATTCTATGAGCAAAAATCCTTGCCATCGTGTGGCAACTTTTTTGCTGTTTGACTCAATCTTGAAAATTTTCTGAAAAATTTTTTGCAAATATCCCGAAACTATCCAACGCCAACTCCAACGCTTGTTTGTATTTGTTTTTGTTTAAACTTCTCCATCTAAACTAATCAATTTTTTTAAACCACATCTGACCAGATCCCGCTTTAACCGATTCCTAACCTGAAAAGAGTTATAATCTGCGTATCAATGATAATCTCCGGAGAGATGTCTAAAATTGAATAATACGTGGAAACGATCATCAACCATGAGCAAATTATTAAAGAATATCCTGTCAAGGAGGCAGATTCATTCATACAGATGTGCTGTGATCTGTCAATGTCTGAAGTGAGTAAATCTCTGCTTTTCCTAGAAACCAACGAAAACAAACCTCGGTACCAATTAAATTCTTATATTTAAAAAATCAGACTTACCAGTAACAATGCAAGACAATTGCACGTCGACTACAGAAATCCAGATGTCCAGTGCTGTCTCCAGTTCCAAAAACAGAAGATCCAGCATCAACGAGACATGTTCATTCAAACACAGGACACCCCGAATCCCAACAGCTTGAAGTTTATTCCAGGAGTTCCTGTGCTCGAACCTGCACAAACCAAGGACTTTCCTAATGCTACTGAGGGCTACTGCTCACCCCTGGCAAAAATGCTATTCAGAATTGAAGGAGTTAAATCTGTTTTTTATGGTCCCGATTTCATAACTGTGACGAAGATCGATGAGGATGTAGACTGGAATCTATTGAAACCTGAGATTTTTGCTACCATCATGGACTTTTTCTCCACAGGACTACCCATCATGTCGGAGGAGCAACCCTCTTCTGATACACGTAATTGGCTTTTGGAATTCACATATTGTTCGTTAAATTCACTGAAACAAAAAAATTTATATTTTGAAAATTATATTTAGAAATATGAATTCGACGAGTTCACGGGAACAATTTTTAAATGACATGTGTTTCACGTATTTTATTATATATTATTTATATATTCTTAGAATACAGCATTTTTTTCTATTGAAATCAGAAATAAATGAAGACGACGATGAGATTGTTCAGATGATTAAGGAGCTATTGGACACTAGAATCAGACCTACGGTTCAGGAAGATGGTGGGGATATTGTCTTTATGGTGAGAAATTGATCCTCTGAGAATTTTTAAGTCTCAACAATTTAGACTATTTCAAACTAAAAGATGACACAATGGCATTCTAGGGCTTTGAGAATGGAATCGTCAAGTTAAAGATGCAGGGCTCCTGCACAAGCTGTCCTAGCTCGGTGGTAACCCTGAAGAATGGCGTCCAAAATATGATGCAGTTCTATATCCCCGAAGTTCTCGGAGTGGAGCAAGTCGAGGACGAGACCGACAAGATAACGAAAAAAGAGTTCGACAAGTTGGAGAAGAAGATAAATGTCCAGGAGTCAGAAAACAATACCTGAACCCTTGAATTTATAGAGATTAATAATTAAAAATTGTAACATAACTAGATGAGTAATTAGAATAATAACAAGAGATGTTTTAAATGATTTTTCGATTTTTATTTTGTCTTTTCATTTTCAAAATGAAGCGATTTAACGGCTAGTAACTGACACCTGCCAGACACGAATTGTGTGGTCAGAGTAACCAGCGAAGAGGGTCTGTCCATCTGTGGACCAGGCCAAGGAGAGACACTGAGGTGGCTCAGCCTTGCTCGTCGTCGAGACAACCTCAGGTTTCAGTTCCTCAACCATCTCTTTGCTCTCCAAGTCCCAGATCTTGATCCAGGGCCCGAAGGCTGCGCACAGCCAGTAGCGGTTTGGACTGAAGCACAGGGCTGTGATAATATCATTGTGGTCCAAGGTGTGGAGGTGCTTGCCATCGTTCAAGTCCCAGAGCATGGCTTTGCAATCCTGAAAGAATTTTTTTCGCATTATTCAGGAAATTTTTTCCAATGGCTTTTTGAAATTCCGAGGGTTTTCGTCAGTCCCATATCCGCAAACACTCATGGTCATCGTTGGTATGAAATTTTTGCATCATTTTAGTTGATTGAAAAATTTATTGAGAAAGCTGGAAAATTTTTTAGTTAGAGATTTTATATTCACCTTTCCACCGGATGCACACAGAGAACCGTCAGGAGAAACAGTGACGGTGTTCAAGTATCCAGTGTGTCCACTGTGGTTGATCTTTAGACGACAATTGGTCAGGTTCCATACCTATTCCAGAATTTGAAACAGATTCTCTATTAGAAAAAGTACTTTTTCTCACAATTTCAATTCATTTAGACTTACAGGTCAATTTTTATTCGTATGGGAATCATCATAACCATATGAAAATTTTTATGTTATATTTGGTTCATTAATCAAAAAATTCAATTTTTAATAAGTAAATCAGTGACATGCTTCATCAGGGCATGACGCCCGTTATGCGTTAGTAAAATAATCATTTCAATTTTTTGGGCTTACATTTTTCAATTATTTTCACGAAACAAAATGGTACTAACTGATCAGAATAATTTTTAACTAACTTTACCTTGACAATTCTGTCCCAACCAGCAGAGACAATAATTGGATTAGAATGGTTCGGTGAGAAACGAACACAACTGACCCAATCACTGTGTCCTTCATCCTGGATTGTGTATTTGCACTCGGCCAATGTATTCCACAACTTAATAGTCTTGTCCCTGGATCCAGAGACAATCTGACGGTTGTCCACGGAGAAGGCGACACTCAGAACATCCTAGGAAGCCCAACGTGCAAAAAACTTGTTGATATCATAGGTTCAGTCAAGTGGTGATGTTTATTTTGTCCACTTAAGGTTGAAACACTTTTTAAAGCAGTAAATATCTTGAAAATTATAAAGCTGGCACTTCTATTACTTTCGTTTAAGTTGAAGTAACTCGTTTCATCTTATGGCAATTATTTATATTTCCATTCCAATTACTTGACCACTTGACTGGTCTTATGTGAGAAAAAATTGCTTTATAATTAAAAATTCCATGATTCGATATAACAATCCTCCCAATACTTACAGCATTGGCTCATCATCTTCAATAATTTATAAAAAAAAAATAAAAAAAAAAGCTTCAGTTCGTAAATTTGTCGAGTGTCAAGATCACGACACGTGGGGAATATCACACCTTGGTATGGTCTTCGAACCTCCTGGTGGTGCGTCCAGCTGCGAGATCCCAGAGCCGGAGGGTCTTGTCCCAGGAACCTGAGAGGGCGTAATTTCCATCGGAGGAGAGAACCACGTCACTAATAAAGTGGGAATGACCATACAGACGCTTCTGGGGAATACCGTAGTTCGTCTCGTCACGAGTCAACTTCCAGACGATGAGGGTCTTGTCTGAGAAAAAATTTGTCGAATATTTTTTTTAATTACAAAAGATTGAGAGTAATTAAGGATAAGCCATGGACTTCAGAATAAATAAATTAAAATTAGTTCCAGATGTTCATAAAGAGAAAGAAATGTACTCTTCATAAAAAAAAATATTCCATTTCACCTGCAAAAAAAACTCGAGTGGCAATATTGCCCTCTAACCTAGAGCTAATTTAATATATTTGGATATATTTTTCAGATATATTTTTTGGGGGCCATTACTGGTGTCTTACCACGTGAGGACGAGAGAATCATGTCCGGATATTTAGGATTTGTCGCAATTTGCGTGACCCATCCATTGTGCCCACGAAGGGTACCCTTCAGCTGCAGTGTTTCACTCATTTTTTATCACTAACTAGAGTTTTTAATTAGTGGATTGATGTGGATTCAATTCAACGATCCACTCGCCACGAGACGCGATGAGAAAAGACCCCGGCGGAAACGGCAAACGATGCGCAATGGCGTTGAGAGTGGGTTTAGACGAAGTTAGCCGAATCGCTCCGGAAATGCACGCATGCGTGGTTCGACGGCGGGATCCGACGAATTTTAAAAATCTGTTCGGGCATTGCGAAGGCCAGGAAATAAGATTACCTCATTAAATCATGACAAATCCACTAAAAATGCCAGAACACTTCTTTAATCACTTGGGAAATGCAATTTTTTAAAATAGCAACTCTTTACAAGAATCGACTGAATACTGAAGGATTATGGTCTTGAAATAACAATACTCGTGTTTCCCATACAAAACATAGCGATTTTATTCTACAAATAATGGGATAATTTTTTACTCGACTTTTTTGTTTCTCTTGTTTTTTTCTTTTACTTCTTATAATTCCTTTTTTTCATTTTTTTTTTGTATTCTTTTTTGAAAATTTGGGTACAGACTCATGCCTTATCAATATAATAGTACATCGTCTATCTTATGATGCGCAATTAACAGAATTAAAATTCCTCGCACCTTAACTTGTCACTATTGTTTTCCATTTCCTCACATTAATCATCCGAAAGGAGAAAAAAATTTATTAGTTTTTTTGTTACAATTATTAATAACAAATATAACACTCAGATTAATGTCGATGTGTTCACGACCCGTTGCAATATTGTAAATAGTTTTAATTGATGATACGGATGCGGAAACAATCATCGGTGCATTTGTGGCACATGTGCCAAGGGTACATTCACACATTACGTGAATGATTGTGTGACTATTTATGATAGCTGGTGAATGTCGTCATAAACGATGCTGCTATCGTCGCCAACTTCGTGACTCTCCGTCCTCGTCCTCCTCTTCCTCGTTCTCTTCGAGGAGAAGAGCTTCAGCAGCTCCCTAGGTAGGAAGAATATGAATTCTCAAATATACCTTTCAGATATACACAGTTATTCATATATACAGGAGAAATTTCAAATAAATTCTGGAATTCTCTGATTTTCAAACTCACAGAAACAATTGCAATTATTGTCAGTCTGATTTACCTCAAGATCGATATCGTCATCAACAACTTGTGCCTGATCAGACCGAGCAGATGCTGTATTGGAGTTCGCTCCAGTGCTCAAACTACTCCCACCACGGTGAAGATGGTGACCAGATACCCAGGTCACCGATAACAATCTGTCTTGGAAAGTTCTCCCCTTCAGCATCGCCACTTCTGCTTCTTTCCTGGATTTATAGGTGATCATCACCGAGGGAGTGGCATCGTCCACTATTTGATTAATTATCTCTCCATATTGCTGCGATAAAATAAAAAAAAAAACAAGTCGACAATTGCATTATCCATTATTAAGTGAAATTCAGGAACATTTTCGAAAAATTCAAAATAAAACACATAAAGGCATGAAAATAAATTCGTGAAATAAATTCCCCTTCTTCGTAAATCAGTTTAGCTCACCTGAAAATGCGCAAGGACTTCACCCTTCTCGTCACTCTCATACCCCGAGATGAGGAGCCCCGTGGGCCTGTGATCCACCGAAACATGAGCGAAACTTCCTCTGCCCCTCCCCCTGTAGGCAGCCACCCCTGCACCCCTGACAACTCTGGCAACTTTGATGCCCCTGCCAACAGCAGTGGATGTGCTCAAACCGAGAGCAGCTGCTTGCGCCCTGAGTTCATTGAGCCTCTTCTGGAGCTCAGCCGAGTCCTGACCCTCCTGCTGGGCAGTCATGAGATCGAGTTCAGCATCTAGTATCTCCTTCTGCGTCTGTTCTCGTGATTTCGGTTGATTCTTCGTCGTACCCGATTGTCCATTAGTCGCCAGGTCCTTTCGCAGTTGATCGATTGACTGCTGTAGATGCTTTATCGTTCCCATTATCGCCTCCTTCTGCTCGGGATTCTTTTCTGCCTTTTCGATTAATGATCTTATCTCGATGAGATTCTTATCGAGGAGCTCCTGCTTTCGCTTCCGGAGATCTGCTGTTATTTTAATGGCCTCTTTGCGTTTCTCCTCTTGTTTTTTCTTGAGGGTCTCTTTGGCCGCGAGAATCTCCTGGGTTTTTTTTATCGCCAGCACTCGGTCCTCACGTGTCGGAGGTGTTGAAGCTTGTGGCTGGGTCCTTTGGACTGGGGGCACCAGACTTTGGGACACCTGGGGCTGCGGCTGAGGGGCTGGAGGTACCTGGGGGGTGTCCTCGGTTGCACGACGCGTTGGAACGTACTCTGTGTCCTCGGACTTCACTGGGAGGGGCACTGCTGCACCCAGACGCTCTTTAACGGAGGGACGACAACCTGCTGAATTTATGTATTTTTTTTCATAATTATTTCAATTTCCAGGATTCAGTTGTAGAGTGGCAAATGATCTAAATTGTTGGAGAGTGGCAGATCGAGATATTGATTACAAAGCACCTGCCAGATTTACAAAATAATGATAAATACCCAGTTCACCAGTCGTCATTATGGAAAAAAAATAATAATAAAATACATATTATCGATGGTAGATTGCGTATTTTTAATTATTTTTCTGTGAACCGGTTTCGGCAAGACAATTTGAAATTCAAATTTAGAAATATTTGACAGTAACAAGAAAAAATTGAAACCGTAGATTACCCTATAAATAAACCCTAAAGCGTACTCGCCAATGGAGTTGACTAAAAAAATGCAATAATATTCACCTGGTGGTACATTTTCAATGGCACCTCCCGCCGAATTATTGGTAACATTATTATGCCAGAACACCTTGATAAAACGATTATTCAACACAGCCTCGGTGCTCCGGTACGCAGCCTTAGCCTCAGTGGGCAATTGAAATGTAACGAGAGCGGCCTCTGGATCGCCAGCAAAATTCACTTGTATATTTACAATTTTTCCAAACTTGGAGAAGTGATTGTTCAGTTGGGTTATATTATTGAGAACACGAGGTACTTTTTTCAACTCGAGAGAGCAATTCGCTGGGTTATGCACAGCTCGTTGTTTTGGCCCCAGACGATTGAAATCAAATGCTTGTTTTCGTTTGAGTGGATTTGTCTGCGGATGAGTTATCTCTGGAGGGTTAGCATGGGGTATCACTGGTACACTTATTAGCTCACGCTGCCCACGACCGTAAATACCAGGAGCTGATGGTGGATGTCTGCCCCATGGGAGACGTGGCTCCATGCTTGGGGCATCTGGATTATATTCTGCAAAGGAACCTGAATACAGATCTAATTTACTCGGTCGTGTATTAATTCAGTTTACGGATTAAATTAGGCCTTACAAATTAGCTCATATATAATGGCTATGAAAAAATGGTAATAAAAATATATTTACCCATATTTGAGTGGTGTTCATTCCTCAGGTGAGGAGGGGGTAGACTGGCCAGGGGTAGATGAGGGCGAGGTGCATTGCCATTGTGTCCAGGAGGTGGTTCTTGGACAGCAGGCACTGGAACAGTACTGGGAGCCTGTGCCCCATGGGGTCCAAATGTCAATACTCTGCTGAGGGCGACATCCTCAAGGACAACAGGGTCAGTGCCATGATCGTAAGGGCACAAATCTCCTCGCATGCAGTACCCCTTCTCATCGAAATCACGACAACGTCTCTTTCCCTGGAAGCCTCTGCTATTGGGGGCTGTGGAGGCAACTGCCACGACACTCTGAATCGACTGACTGGTCGTTGACAGTCTCATGTCAATGTCTCCATGATTGCTGTCCTGAGTGGGAGTCCCTCCAGGACTGGCGTCCAGACGATCCAGCCTAACGGCCTCTGGAGGCCTCTCGGATCTCTCACTTTTCTTCGGCTCTAGGGATCTGGAGCGAGATCTGGAACGCAAGGGAGTTGGAGAACGATTTCTAAATCTTGCCCTGTGGTCTCTGGGCTCTGCGTTGTCTCTGGTTCGAGAACGTAGAGGAGATATGCTTCTACTCCTAGTTCGCCTCCTCTCGTGCCTTCTCACACTCGATGGAGGTGATTTATTTCTCCAGGGGCGACTCCTGTCCCGCTCCCTGTCTCTCCTGATGTGCTCTCGACTTCTGGACCTTCTGCGATCCCTCTCCCATGATCTAGACCGCGATCTTGTCCTCGATCGCATCCTCCCACGGCTCCTGGGTCTCTTGTCTTTCTCTTTGTCATCCTTTTCGGAATCTGACTTTCGTGATTCACGTTTACTCACTGCCAGAGCTGCTGAACCGTTCACCTGGGGTGGAGGTGGACTCAGTGCTACTGGGGGATTCTGAGCTACTGGAGGCTCAATTACCTCAGGTTGTACCATAGGTGCTGGGGGATTGACACTCGGTGGTGTTCTACTCCTCGGTGGATCAGACCTCGGTGGTGGCAGAACGTAGTTCTGAGTCTCCAAGGTCTTGAATAACAGCTTCACGAAATTCTCGGTTTCTGCAATTTCCCACAATCACATGAATCAACATTACATTTCTTCAATTATTAACGTGATTTCACACATTAGATTTTAATGTACTTAAAAATAAAGTAAGGGAAAAAATCAAAATAAATATTCAAATACAATTTAAAACAAATGGAATCTTAGAAATGTGACATTTTATATGAAACGAGACAAGAGACCTTTTTTATATTAAATTTAATGCACTACAAAAAATGCAGTTAACAACTTCGCCTAGAATCGATGGTTTTTGAGAGAAATCGATAATTGAGCATTAATTAATGATAAATTCGACTTATTCGACTTATCCACTTTGCTACTAAGCTGATGATTTTTGTTATTAACGAATAGGTAAAACTCACCATCCTGCAGAAAAACATCGAGCTGCTGCACCATGCACCCGCTGAGCTCCTCCAGGGTTTTATCTTTCCTCACCAGGGCATAAACATATTTAGCAAGAGCTGCTGGATCGGCGTCACACCTGAATCCAAATTAAATTCGATTAGTCAAAAGGCCCTGCCTATTCAACTTGAAAACAACAAACGTGATAAACAAAAAAGGAAAAACCACCTCGAATCACCTCAGAATTCAACGTAACATGAAGAGTGAGAGGGAGAAATAGAAAAGCAAAACAAGATAACGATATTAACCCCAAGATTTTGGGATTCTCGGAGTCACAGCGAAAGACTCAATACCCGAATATCTCCAGAGGCAGCAACAACAATTATAAATAACAATGCCACCCACGGAGAGTCTTTCGATCACCTCCACTGGGCACATGTATGCTCAATTTACCATTAATCAGTCGCCAAAAAAGAACAAAATGAGAGAGATAACAAATGCACAGGAGTAATACACATGCTGGCCTACTTACAGTGGTTCCAAAACTGCTGTTAACCAAGCTTTGAACTGATCTGGATTATCTATTATCATTGTACAATTTATTTAGTTTATTGTTAACATATGATAGAGTTTATTCAACGTCACAATTTGTCACGTTATGGGGGCGGGAATAAGTACTCGGTCTACATGGACTGTGTAAAGATAGTCGCCATTCTGGATTATTATTCCCCCGCTGAGTAATACTGCCAACTGTGAGGATTCGGAAGCTTTTTCTAGAAAGTACCGCAATGGCAACACTGAGGGGGCAGAGGTCCTTTGGTGGGAATTACCGGGCCTTTCAAATTTCATTTTTCATTTTTCCAGACCAATCATTCACTTATTTTCTCAATTCACTTCTTTAGGAATTATTTTAGGAATTTAAAACCTGGTGTTATCAATGAACATTCATAATTCAGGCTGTCCAACCCTTTTTCATGAATAATTACGTTTATTTGATCTTTTCTTTATAATTAAAAAATGATTGTAATTTTTTTAATTTCTTCAGAACAATCTCTTTAATTCACTATGTGACTTCTTCGTAAATCGATCTTCGGATTTAATACATGAAATTTTCAAAGAATATCAATGGCTAATAATATGGCCTTCACATTTTTTTTTACAATTTGTCGAGCTAATACGATTGCGGCAACAATACAAAATGGTTTAAGTCTCTAATCCATGATTTCCTAATTTAATTTCTACATAATCACTTAGAGTACGATCATTGTCACATGAACCAGCGGTTGTTCGATGGTCTGGTGTGTTGATTCGTCATCAGGGTGCCATCCAGCAGGCGAGGAGACTCCCAAGGAGGAGCTGAGCCACTGGTAGAATTGCCAGAGGGAGATTTACCGCTGCACCATGAGCAGAACCATGATAAGCCCCTCTGAGGATCCATCCTCCGAGCCCCACAGATTTGTGCATTATCGTGTAGAGTGAAGCCATGAGGATGGCCTTAGATAACCACCTGGAGCACAGGCTCCAACAGATTCCAGTTATCAGTATTTGCCCGAGACAAGCTGACGAATAATAGAGAAAACCCATATCTTCAATGGAGAATTGGAAATCCGTTTAACTCAATTTGATAATTATTAAAAATAATAATAATTACCAATTAGCACACAGAGCAGAATATCGACTGCCTGCAGAGCTGAAGAGTCCGCAGTGACAGCTTCAGAGAACCAGTGATAGGCGCTGACGAGGAGTAGAACCTGAGGGAACCAACTGGTTCGAAATTTCTCGTGAAGATTATTGAAGGCCATTTGAAACGTTAGACCTACTCCAAAAGGCACTAGAGTACTGCAGGCTATCTCCTGGAGATTGACTCCGACTAGAAGAGAAGTAGAGGCTCCCAACTGAAATCAAAATGATCACACCAGAAATTGAATCAGATCAATAAAAATTCTGTACAAAATTTAATTTGACTTATTGATAAATTACTATGGATTATTAACTGCCCTGCCATTACCATCAAATAAAGAAGAAGTGGAGAGACTAGAATTCCAACGAAATGAGAAACTAGAGTTGTTACGACACTGGTGGACATGTCTGCATCAGATAGTCTTGTTAGGACGAGGCTGACACTCAGGGGTGGAGGCATGCAGTAGAAAACCTGTTAAAAAAGATTTCAATGAACATCCAATTGATTACATGAATTTATAAATTTATTTTCAAGCGATTACCTCCATTCCTTTCAGCAACCAAGTGTTGACATTAGCAAACACCAGGAGACAACTTCCTACCCTGGCCAGTAGTGGCATCAGGACGTATATAAATGCCAAGATGAAGCAGAGGAGATATCCATTTCGTGCGGCAGAGTATAAAGACCTCGGGCTGCAGATGAGCCCGGCCTCGAGGTAGGTCAGAGGTACTGCTATGTACCAAACCAGAATATGACCGTTTATATATTCTGAAATGTTGTAAGGAAATTTACTAACGAGAGAATTAAGGAGTTATTGCCGATATCTTCTCATTTTTCATGTTTTTTCTTATGTGAATTCCTGGAAAATTATGGGATTGACGTGAAAAAATTTACCGTTATTGCGTTTCATAATTATTCCATGCCTCAAAAATTTTCAGAGTCGTCCGTCTGTTTCTCTAAATTTTTGGTAAATGTTCAGATTTATTACGAAAGAAATCCGTTTTAAATAAATAAACGTTTACAAATAAGAAACAAATTAGTTTTGTAAATTTCGCTATTAAACAAGTTTTCAAATTATTTTATCTTCCCTAACATCCGCAAAATTGAGATATCAACGCGTCCATAAATAATACTGATGCAATTTCCCCAATTTATCACAAAATCCTTCGACTTCTCTCTTCATCAACTCGTAAAAATCGTGTAGTAATTTTATTACCATTGGCACTCCCCATATTCGGCTGGATCGACGCCAGAAACATGCAGAGCAGCATCAGAACGAAATATCCATAACGATTCCACAGTTCTCTACCATTTCTGTGTTTGAATTTCTTCTGATTCTCTACAGGCATCCTTCAACAATTCTCCTCTCGTCTTCCTGATTTTGTTTCAATGCCACTCTTCACCTTGAATCCAATTGATCATTTTTTTTGTATATGGAAGATAAGACCTTAAGATGATGATGGATACGTACTTCTGGTCCTTTGTGCATTCTTAAACTGTTTTCGAAATCGATGGATAAACGAAAAGCAGGCATAGGGCGATTTAAATGGAACAAATGGTCCCTCGATGGAATATAATTTTTTCTTCTGACATATGAGTCGTTATAGCAATTGCCAGGTGCTCCAATCAACGTGCACCATCTCCAAATGTGTTTCTTAATTATTTACTCGAAATAGAGCATGAGCAAGCAGCATCTCCATGCAAATTAAGTTTATAGCGAAGTGAAGAAGAAAAAATGTTTCCAAAATGTCAATTCACTCTGAAACCATGTGGCTAGATTTCCTCAGAAGATATTTTCAGAATGGTAAACAGAATGTGCAAAATTCCCACCCCTAAATATGTATAATAAAAAATCTAACAAACGTGACGAAGGTGAATAAATAAAAAAGTCAAATCGAAACAATGGAAAAATATTTATTCATCATTTTCTCTAATACATGAAAAACTCTATAATTAACGTATAAATACTAAAAATTATCTAAAAACCTATTCATCGGACTAAAGCCAGGCAGATGAGTAAATAATTAATAAAAATATTCAACCTGTCCTCAACTTCATCATCACCCCAATCTATCAACTTCGAAACCGCATCTAGTTCTTGGACGATTGCATAACAAACGGATTGCACTCACGTGATTTCACCAACAATCACTCCCCCACAATTACCCCTAATGAAGATGAACCCTTTTTCAAGTTGCTCATAAAAAAATCGACGATAACAGCACTCCAAAAGGAGGAATCATTATTTTTTCAATTCTCATGAAGGTACGAATTGCCCGGCAAACCTCTTGGGGTTTTTCGAAAAAAATCTCCAATCTGTGTAAATAATTACGAAATATTTTCTCCTGTCCTTCGATCGACGTTGACTGTATTTTCCCCCTCCCTTGACTGACAGCTGACGTAGGCAAGCGCAGAAGAGCACGAGTGCCAGTCGATGCCTCTCGTCCCATGCATTCGCCAGTTGTGCTTGTGATTATATATGTAATAATTTTAAAACAGGATTTATAAATAATATAAGTAGTTAAAATGGTGGAGAGAAAAGATAGTCGTGAAATCGTGACGATTTTAATATTGTGCATTATGTGGTATATCGTGTCTAGTAGTAACAATGTTGTGGGAAAGTTGTTGCTGTCAGAATTTCCGTATCCTATGACAGTTACGATGGTGCAGTTAACCTCAATCACAACACTTAGTGGACCTTTTTTTAATATGTGGGGAGTGAGAAAGAGCAAGTCGGATATATCGTGGGGATATTATTTGAGGCTGATAGTACCACTTGCCCTGGGCAAATTTCTGGCCAATGTCTTCAGCCACGTCAGCATTTGGAAGGTGCCTGTATCGTACGCACATACTGGTATGACAATCTTTTCTCTGGTTGTTGATGGGGTGTGGGAAGTGAAGGGAAACGTCAAGGAAGTCGTTTTGACATTTTTCTTTGAAATTATAGGTTTTCATTTGTTGCCCAAGGTTTCCAGGTGCTTATTAACAGCGAGCCACTGTTTATTGTTTTCTCAATGTTTACAATATGGTAGATCTTGAGACAGATCTGATAGTTGAATTTTTCCTCAATTTTTCTTTGCCGGATGAATATTTTCTAGATTATTCACAACGATGATACCATTTTCGGGCTCATAATAATCCAATTACAAATATAGGTTGACAATTTTTCCGAGATAAGTTATCAGAGTTAGATAAACACCTTTCCGACTATTCCTGGGCATTTCCTCGTTCGAGAATCATTTCAATCGTTAAAGAGATTATGAACTCATTTACTAATTGGTTAATTGCGGTTTGTCCCAGTGAAGGCTACGATGCCCCTCTTCACAGTATTCCTGTCCAGGATAATTCTACGTGAGAAGCAAACGTGCAAGGTTTACCTCAGCCTTGTGCCAATTGTCGGGGGTGTTGCCATTGCGACATTAACTGAACTCAGTTTTAATGTAATTGGATTGGTCAGCGCCCTAGCATCCACAATGGCATTTTCATTGCAGAATATCTACTCTAAGAAGGTAATTGTCAAATACGTCTCAAGGGATTTTATCAGATGAAGATCGTCTGTGCCACCCAATCACGTGGTCGATGTATTTAAAAAAAAATATCTAAATTTTCCCTTCTTTCGATTCAGAGATATTTGTTGAATTCTCATGGAATTTATATTGAGATTAATAATTCACATACTAAAAGACTACAAAACTGAATGAAAATAAAAAATGGGCAAAATCAGTGAATATTATATGACTGTGAACATTAAATTCAATTTGTCGAATGATTGGTACTTTTTAAAAATGTTTTAGGTCCTGTGCGACACTGGTATCCATCACCTTCGCCTCCTTTTCATCCTCGGTCGTCTCGCCCTTTTCCTATTCCTCCCAGTGTGGCTCGCCTACGACCTGAGGACTTTGATAAGCGAATCCGTGACTCACTCCATCAGCTCCAAGGTAATAGGCCTTCTAATTCTCGATGGTGTCCTCAACTGGCTCCAAAACATCATAGCCTTCTCCGTAATGTCCATCGTTACACCACTGACTTATGCTGTTGCTAATGCCAGCAAGAGAATATTCGTCATCGCAGTGACGTTATTCATCCTAGGCAATCCTGTCACTGGTCTCAACATATTTGGCATGACACTGGCCATTATCGGTGTTTTTTGCTACAACAAAGCTAAGTACGATCAGAGACAAGCAGCCAAAAAGGAATCACTGTTGCCTAGTTACTCCAATGTTCTTGATGTCAAGAAAAACGGAAGTGCTTTTCATGTTAATGGCTGGACTCCACAGACACATCGATTATTCGCCGTCTAGTCTTCAATTTAGATAGATATGTTTCAATTATTGATCAATTTTCAATTTTTTTTTCATTGATGGAAAAACTTGGAGACATGATTTGAAGGACTTTTATTGAGGGGCGGGTTATTTTTCCAATGGAAATTTCATGTCCTGTGATGCTTCCACCTTGAATCAATTATTTCCTAGATAAATCGTTAATTAATAAAAATGTTGAATTCGACTTATCTAATGACGTACAGTCATTCGATTTTTTCATACAGAAATTTTGTTCTATGCACAAATTGTTTATCAACTGAAAAAATTGAATGAAGCAAATTACCTAGATTCCTCATGAAATATTCATATTCGTTAATTTTTCTTCGTCATGTCTACATGATTTTTCTATAAATTTGACAGTGGACGGAACTCCAGGAAAACGAATCCAATAGTGCAATGAATTTTTGAGGATTCTAGTTCTGGAGGCAGATAACGTCCAGCCTTGTAGAACTATTTATTAATCGTCTGTTATTTCATTATTCTTGCACAAATTATGAGAGAGGAACCGTTTGAAAACGCGACTGGTGTCATAATGACTCTTTTACGATGATCGACGCGTGGTGAATTATTTTTCGTGACTTGTTCGTCCCTGGTGGTAAGGAACGCGTTCATTTTGGATAGATAGGTATTGACGAAAGGACGAGTCAATTGCGGGCCCAATTGGCTTGTAGAGTTCGATAATGGCCAGAGTGAGATTAACCCATTTTTCAGAGGTTGTCGAGGTGTCCCAGATCCTGACCCAGAGACATTTGCCTCGGAGTTACTGGTGTACCTTGCAAGTTAAAGGAGAATATAACAAATGAGAGATAAATGAATTTTATAATTTTACAAATGGTACTTCCTTGAGTGCTCATACGAGTATAGACTTCGTGGCCGGATGGGCTGATAACTTTTTTGTGGAATTTGACCCGGAGGAAACGTTTTTCTTTCGATAAACACATGTTTAGTTTCCAAATATCTCCAATCCTCACGTTCTCGGAATTTAAAAACAGCCCACAATTTCCTGATTTTAAATTGAAACCAAAACAATGGAATTCAATATTATTTCCAACAATATTTTGATAAATTCGTTTTCCTCTTCGTGACGTGGACAGCCAGTCCCCACGTGTCCATCGGTTTATATTTATAAAATCGGTGAAAAATAGAGAGAGAGATCTCGCTCCATTCAGTAATGAAAATATTTTAGCAATTTTTATTTGTTCCAAGTTTTTGAGGATGGCAAAAAGGAGTGGTGAATAATTCTGGTGCGAATGAAGTGTGCGGGAGAGTGATCTAGGTATAACAACAGAAAATGTAAAAATTGATCTAATAGTAACATTTATTTTTGTATAAATAAAAAGAGGTATACGTAAAAAAATAAGGAAGAGACGAAGGGCTGGATGAAATCACGCCCGAATAAAGTATTATTCAACATCAATCAATCCACAATATCCATTGACTAGTTAATACTAATGAAGTGCTGTTGAAGCCCTTCAGTTATTCTGAGGCAATGAGGAGTGAAATTACAAATTTTTGGTGACATTTTGGGGGGAAAGGGGTCGAGCGACAGTGAGATCGAGTCTGGCACCAGCTGCTGCGATCAAAGGAACAGCCAGACAGCAATCGCAGTCCTCAGTGCTCGTGTCGTTGACGCGGAGAATTCTGTCGTATGGTTTCAAAACACCATCACAAGGCCCCCCGGGTCGTAGACGATTTATATAAACCCCACGCTCGTACAAACCATCTGAGACTGAGAAACCAAAGTCCTCGTACACTGGGTCTTTGTGGAGGGATATGTGGACGATTTGCTGGGGTCTGTTGTCACTACCAGGACGTTCCTGAGATCTGATCACAGAATTTTATTCAATTACTTTTGGTACACTCTCCTTTCTTCTTTCACTTTTCATTTACACTGTGTCATTTCAATTATTTTTCTCTTAACTGCGCGGATCGCTTGGAATTAATATTTCAATCTGCCACCGACGAACAATTTTTCCCCTTTTTTCTTGTTATTTTTTTATAACTACTCGGGGAGCTTTCACAACACAATTTTTTTTAATTTAAGACAACAAATTTTAAACCCAAATTTAGAAATATTTTACATTAGGAAGATAAAATTTGAACTAAAGATTGTGTTTAATTTCCAGTAATTTGAGAATACAGGAAAGAATTATCGGAATTTCACTACTTTTTCTCATTTTCGTTGTAGTACTGCCCCGTAAATTTGAATTTAATTGACTATTCAAACAAATCATCATATTCTGTTGTAAATAAAAAAATCATTGTCAGGGCTTTAGATAAGAAAATAAAGTCTCACCCTGGATACGGTGACATGGGAAGATCCAGTTGTCCACTGTCGATGGAGGCAGTGTCCCAGAGTCTGATAATGTCAGGTGCACTGACCTCTCCCAGTTCTCCCCAGGAGTCCACCGCACTGTCGACGCTGGGTAAACTCTCCCTGGCAGATCTGAGGATGCCTGAAGGATACTGGGGGCTTATAGGATCCCCCGCGACACTTCCCGACACACTTCCTGACATACTTCCGTCCCTACAACACCCCAAAGACCACACAATCTCTGAAGACTCTACCAACTTTGGAGAACGCTTGAAATTAATTGCGCTCACCTCTGGTCGCTGCAGCTGTCGGGTTTTCGCACAGTCAGAGCAACAACAGAGCTCCCAGGACGATGGAGAAGCTGAGCAGCTTGTCGCAGATCTCCAGGGTCCAGTTTCTGACCGTCGATTGCCAGCAGACGATCACCGGGGGACAGGCTGCCCGTTCTGTAAGCCAAGGAACCTCTCCTCACCTCTGCTATCACCAGGTCCTCGTTGACAGTCAAACCCAGATCTGGCTGTCCTCCGAGAGGTCTTGCCACTCTAACTGTAAAAACCCCCGAGCTGGGGACCACTGATCCACCCACTTTGTACTCCGTTACTAGCTCGACCTATTATCATCAACAGAGTTGTGAAGAAATTTTTTTTAATCTTAGGGCTGTGGGCTGCTTATTTGAGTAGTCGTACCTCAGAGAAGCAGGAGCCTTCCCTGAAGTGTCGATTGATACCTAGCCAGTTTAATGAGAGTTCCACACATTCCTCAAGTACAAGAAGAAAAAATCAGATAGAAAGATCAGAAGGGTTGAGCGTTGGGGTCTTGATCTGGGGTTTTGTGACAGGGAAATTACTTTTTTTCGAAATTTATATTTTTCTTTTCACTGCTGAAAAAGCTAGTCGCACAAAAAATCAGGGGTATGGTGCAAAATGAGACAACATTTTTAGATTCTATCACGGTTGAAGAACAATGAGGTCATCACATGAGATCACATAAAAAAAAGATGTATTTTCAATAATTAAAATCTCTAGCAATATATTCAATATAAGTATAGAATGAATATATCTACATATAGATTTTCCAATAATTTAAAAACAAACTTCAATAAGAAATAAAAAAAAATATAATTTGGTGATGATTGCTAAAATTAAAAAAATGAAAGATTATAATCGTACAGCTCCTGTCAACCAACCTGAGAGGATTCCAGGATAGCAGCGACCTCAGCAGCCTGGAGATCCCTCAATATCCTCCGGTTGATAGCAATTATCTGATCCCCAGGAAGCAAAACTCCACTCCTCTCCGCAGGTCCCCCAGCCTCCAACAGATCGACGACATAATTAATCCCATCATCGGCAACTCGGAGGGCCAACCCGAGGCCCCTGTGATCAGGTCTCAGCAGAATTGTGAGACTCTCCTTAGCATAAAGTGTCTGATTAGCTGTCTGAGGCTGTGCCCTCCTCTTCACAGTCCTGGATGATGTGCTTGGTGGTCTCGGTAGTATCTGGAGTCTGGCTATTCTGCAATTATCAGCGACATTTCTCAGCAATTTGGCAGCTGTAACTGCATCGTGCACTGGTGTGTCATCAACCGCGAGAAGACGATCCCCTGGTTGCAGTGCACCACAACGATCTGCTGTACTCGCTGGCCTCAAGCTCTCTATGTATACACCACTTGGTGTTTCACGTACTGTTAGTCCCAACTCCCCTAGTTAACAGAGAGTTTCGTTTTGAGGAAATGGGTAAACAAACGAGGGAGCGTTGATGGGCAATAATGTTTATGTCTCGGAGGTTCATGAGGTGTGGAATTATGGTCTTTGATATTGTCAGAGAGTATATGATGGGAAAATGTTTACGGAGTGTGTAAATCATTATTTGTCTTGTATCTCTACGAAATTGCATGGAAAAAATCTAGTCTTCATAACATTGCTTTTATATTTACTACTCGGGCTTGCTACTCTTTATGTTATTCAGTCTAATCACTTTAATGTTAATTGATTGATTGAAAAAATCGATATTTTATATTTTCTCTATAATTATATTACAGATTTGATGAGTTTGCACATTACAATTTAAATAGACCAGTATTTGGATTATAGATTTTATTCAAACGGAATTGTCAAGAACTTGTTGAAACTTTAATTTGTTATATAATATATCTCCACTTTATCGAATTGAATTATATCGAATCATACGATATACTATATTCCTTAAATTCATTAATTCCTGCAATTTGCAATTTTTTTTTTATTGAAAAACGTTTTACCGGATAATCCTCGCTCCAGCTGGACCAGGAGAGGCCCCGAAGTGGCCGCCCTGGCCTCTTCCATGTTGGCTACGTCGTATTCAATAGTGAGAGAGGCTACAGGTGCATCGGAGCTCCTCCTCAGGGCTCTTTGGGCCTCCGCAAGACTCAGACCTCTCAATTCCGTATCGTCTACTGCCAGAAGTCGATCCCCAGGTCTCACTCTGCCTTCTTTTGCGGCTGGACCGTCGGACTTCACTCCAGTGACAACTAATGCCCTCGCAACTCCACCTCTCAGGGTCACTCCAAGATTTCCACCCTCTCTTTCCACTCGAACTTGAGCAACTTTCGATGAAACTCCAGAGGGCTGACCCTCTATGTCATCCAGCACCAGGAACTTTTGCGATCCGTAGTGGGAAGTGTGGGGATTGTCCTCAGAACTTGCATTTGTTGCAACACTTCCAGGACGTGCGCGACTCTTGTCACGAGAACGCATCGTCCCCAGGCGCAATGAACTGAACATCCTGGGTACCAAGTGGTGGCAGCGATTTTAAGGATGTTTACCAATTTTTCAGCTAATCCGATTTTTTCATCTTCAAGAAAAATTCTATTATCTTTTCACCTGATATCGAAATATACAGATCTAATCTGTGTTTTCGAAAAAATTAATCGCGACACTGCCGGCAGAAATAATTTAACAATTATTTAACAATTAAAGTTTAAATTGATAATTCATCTATTATACACATCAATGATGTAAATAAAAATAAGAAATACAGTGCAAAATGATAGTGAATCGAAGGGGCACAGAAGAATAAAGAAAAAAATATATATATAACAAAAAAGGAAAATATTTTATAAATTCTATTGCATATAAGCGCATGTTAGTGCATACGTTTGTTGTTCCTTGTCCACTTTCATTCTAAATAATAAACGTGGATCAATGGATTAAATTTTCTTATGAGAATAACGGGAATAGCTCCGTCTGTCAGTTTTAAAGTGATAAATTTTTTAATGAATACTTGCAATTTTTAATAAACATCCTTGATCGGTGTCAAACATTTTCCACTTTTTTTTTATTGCAGACTATTTTTCCTGGGATTCATCGACTTGGAGGATTTAACTCCGGATTTTTTCGGCGAAATTTGGGGACTATCTTCGCTGTTGAGCTCAAAATCATGAATTAAGAGCTTAAGCTCTACAAATCTGGATTAAACGATTTAAATCGTTGATGCTGAGTCTATCCTGACGATGAGTTTATAAATAAACTCCATGCTCAACTGACGCCCCGGCTCGCGAAGAAGAGGCGTTTCTGCATGTCAACAATGAAGATGTTCCAACAATTGGATGACACTAAAATTTATTCACTTTTGATTTAGCGCGTATTTAGCCCGGGCGATTGGTTTGAAATTTGATTTTGACGTTTAACCACAGGCACGTGGATGCGCTGAAGATGAGGTGGAGATCTAGACTGAGGGATACCCAAGAGGAAATGAGGAGCAAAGGAGAACGGGAGGTTCGAGACACTTTAAAATAGCCGGATAGGGACGCATCGCCTCGTAAGCTTCAACTTTTAATGCTATTTATAAAATTAGAGGGAACACCCGCGCTTGAGGATTGAGTCCGTCCCTGCTCTGTCCTGAACTCCTCTCGATCGTCGAATTACTCTTTCTGCACTTATCGTTAATGTCAGCCCACGCGGAAAATTGACGGCTTCTTTTTGCCCCTGGGAGACCACTTCCGGTTGAAATTGTTGCAATCCAAAGATCATTCATCAATTCATTTCATTTCGGTGTTTCTCGTTGTTGTTATAGTACCGCATGCTATTTGTTGAGTCTGGAGAAATGTGGGAGATTGGTTCTTTGCTAATTTTTTGAATTCATTTATCCAGGGGCAGGTGCCGGAAGTGGAAAGTGATCCGTTCGGGCAAAAGTCAGACGACACGTCAACCGTTTTTTGGTCCATAGAGGAAAGAGATGACGCAAATAGAATACTCTGGGTATCTCGGGGATTTTCAAAGACACAAGAAAAATTCATATTTCAATTAAATAAAATTGGTTTTCATGAATCATACTCTTTATTTTATTAAATAGCGTTCAGTATTTTAAATAAATCGGTCGCTATTGGCCAGTTTTTCAGCAATAACTCCAAATTCAGTAGACGTGAAAAAAAATTTGTTATTACCTTTTTTATAGAGCCAATTGAGGGCTACGATAAAGGTCATACGCAAAATTTCTTTATGTGTTCTGGATTCCGTAATATTCATGAAAAACTGAGCAGACGGAAAATACGACTGAATCCCGGGCTTTCTGCGCTATTGAAATTATTTTTCCACGGGTAAAATCAAAAATACTGATGAAAACACTAAGAAAAATTGACAGAGTAGTAAACTAATAGATCGTGTATTAAATATTACGAGAACAGTATTTTTTTAATTAAATTCTCGAGGCATTTGGTGAGATTGCAAATTGAAAATGCAAAAATGCCTCGACCGCCTTGCGGAAGCCACAAATGTAATTTCCAGCACCATTTCTTCGTTATTAGATGCTCCCACACATATTTTGCTCCCAACAAATACTCGATTTATATAAAACAAGAAATTCAACTTGATTTTCAAGATGATAAAGAATTCTCGATAATCTTCCCTCCGTAAAAGATATTTTTATCCTGAAAAGGGACCGGTATTTTATAAATGATGTAACTCTTGAGCCAAATAACTCGTTGTTGTTGAAAGCGCAGTAATTATTCACGTCCGAGTTTCGATTGCGAAATGAAAAATTTCAATTTCGTTGGTTCAAGACTCATTTGAGGACTTGCGCGTTTTTCTCTGGGTGAAGAAATTGATCCAGTGGACGTGCAATTTGCTACACTATTTTTGTTTTTTAATTTTTTTCACCCTCACGTACGCACGAGGCCTCTGGTTTATTGCCTCGGTCAATTGAGTGCACCGCGGCCGATAAACTCTGTACAGAGAGTCAGCTTTCACACGTGCGGTCTAATCACAACTCAGCATCTTCGGTTAATTGATGGGGTAAAAGACGCCTTTATGTCCGATAACTCAATTTTTCTCTAATTTAATTCTGTTTCTATTCTTGGAATCAATCCTTGGATAATTAAATAGAATCATTCATTTTGTCGGCGTAATTGATCAGAGGATGAATGAATGCAACAGCAAAAAGTTGAAGAATGAGAAAACTTCAGGTTGCGGACAGATAAGTTTTTGCTGAATAGCTCGGAATGTAAGGGAGATAGCAAAATTTTGGTAATTACTCTTTTTGTAGATCTCAATCTTTTCTATAAAACAAGTCCTTAGGGCAATTTCGTTATCAGGCGTAGATTCTGGGATATCCGTTGAAAACCCGGACTGGGGACGACAGTAGAGGAAAATTATTTTGTCTGAATATTCATCTACTTGGGAAAAATATTCAGTCTTTAAATACCCTATGTCTCCCGTCGAGTTATTTCCGGGAAATCTCCATTAGGTTTTAATTATCACAATGATATTATCATGAATTCATCGGAATTCTAATCTCAAGAGAATAAAAAAATTGGTAAAAAATGAGCAAACATCAGAAATAAATTTTTTTTAAGATGAATAATAAATAGATATTTGGCAACAATATATGATTTTCTTAGTGTTGTCAGCTTAGTGGTTGTTACTTTTTTTTTCTGAAATTATTCGAAAAATATTTAGAACATCGTAAATAGATTTTCTGGAATCGCAACCCTCAAAGCTCCGCGGAAAAGAATTGCATAAAAATTGGCATATGGATTGGCGGAACTAAAAATTCGAAAAGACTTGAAAAAAATTCAACTCTCCACTTGGCGCTCATCAGAGGTTGTTTGCCAATTCCTTGGGGTTCTAAAGTTAGCGCAGTCAGCGCGGAGCCGAGCCAAAGAGCCAAACAGAAAGACTCGGAAGAAATAAGAAATATCCGACAAAAAAAGGGGGAGTCTCAGAGGGCCCTCGAGGGAGAAATAAAAATAAATTAACAAATTTCAGTCTTAATCTATTGAGGTCAGCCCTGATGGACGGCTATAAATATTGCCAGATGGCTCGTCAATTGCCCCTGAATTTTTAACCACTCAGATCTTGCAAGTGAATCTCAATTCATTCTCATTGAATTCAATTTCTCAACATGGACCAATAGTTCTGCACCATTTTACGACACCGCAGTCCTAAACTTCCCATAAATATCTCTGTGCGCCCTATAAAAATCTCAACTGCACGTGTCTTCCAGCTGCTGGAACCTGTAACACCGCAATAATAGCCCCGAAGTATCAAAAATCCCTCAACCCCTCGAGGATAAAAAATAAAGACTCAAAATTCTATTTAATTTATCACCAAATTCCGCCGTTTAATCGAAAAAGTTAAAATTCACTTACAATTAATGAAAAAAATCTACATCTATTAAACAACTAGATAAATCTTTATTACATACAATTCCATGAATCTTCATTTTTGCCTCTAATTCTCACCACCTAATAGAAAAAAATTAAGATTCATTAGATTCTTCCACGACGACTCAATTCAAAAATACAGTCTTATGCGTATTCCATATTTTCTATTAAAAAATCGTTAAATATTCGGTGAGAATATTCATAAGATGTAGATTGATGTGTGGGTTGTGTGGAATGAAATAAATCGTATCTCCGTTAATGAAAAATATTAAAAGGATCATGAAATCTGCAAACGAGCGATCAAAACGCTTTCCAGTGGTTTCTTTGGGTTTTTCATTTACAATTAGGATCTAAAAAATGTGCCGAAGCTGGGAACCAACGATGGGATCTCAGAAATGACTCTCTGGATTTTTTTTCATCGAATTCTCCCAGTTTGCAGCCATTTTTCATGAGGAAACGGACGCTTCCAATCACAGCACGTGGTTTGTTTGATTCCAGGGATCGGGGAATTTATTTCCCTTCAGTCCGTGGCGTTGGGGTTCGTGTAGGAGAACCCTCTGAAGACACCCTGGTCCATTGATGTGAGAATTTGCTCAGGTACTGGGGTCAGGCGTGGCTTCTCAGCTGTGAAAGCTGTGTCGAAGTAACGGGTGTCCAGGGTGTGCTCCAGGGCTGGCTTGAAGGGAGGGTCCAATTGTCTCCTCTCTAATCTATCCCAGGAGAGTGACTGCAGAAGAATAACAAAAATTATTACGGTAACGTGACTCTTTCTGTTTCATTCGTTAATTTTTCGCTATTTCAATTTGCTTCTACTCAAAAAAATACTTTCAATGGTGTACTGGTTAAAATGAAGACGCACAGAAGAATAAATCTGCGAAGTAAAATAAACCACAACGACGAAAGATTATTGCTAACTATTTAACCACATGAATTTGAAGGTCAAACGGATTCCAGACCATTTGGTGCCCATTTGTCCTCTAGATTCAAATTAACATAGGAAAATTCCACAAAAATTAATCTTCTCTCTGTTGAAGGGCAATACTCAAAATTAATTATTAATACGTCGATTTGTTCGCAAATTTTATCTCCAGAATTTTTTCTTACTTTTCTCTTAATTCCTCCCAAACGCTATGAATTCATTTTATAAAATTGTGGTTTAAACGTAAAAATCAGTAAATTATTGTAGTAAGAATTATTTTCACAATTCACGAATTACGACACATAATTTTATAATTAGTTACTTATTGCTCTGTGAATTATTATTATTACAATTCTATTCCGGTATTGTCGAAAATGCGCGGAATAAACTTTGAATCCACCGTTTGGCGCTCAAATCAGTCCGCCATTTTGGAAATAGTTGTCTGTGCATCGAGCTGGGCATTGTAGGCGTTTCAGCGTTCGCTCGACGTATTTTCATTAAAATAAGTCCCAAAAACGTTTAAATAATTACAAACAAAGTTACAATCGGCTGATCAAGACCTCGATTAATGATTATACGATGGAGTTAGAAGGTATTTCGACGACTACGAGCGATAATCCGTGAAAAACAGTCGGCGGAAGCGAACAAAGGATTGGCTGGGCAATCTACGTATTCTCGTGAAAAACCAAAGTAAATGATTAAATTAGTTATAAATAATGCAGTTATTGATCAATCAAAAGGCCCAACAATGATTACACTATGAAATGAACAATGGTCCCGATGAATTCTGAATAACACAAATGGAAAAATATTCTGTAGGGGAAATGTTTGTTTACTCTCATGGGCATTGTCTTGAATCCAAAGAACGTTGAGGATAAATGGTGAAATTATTGTTAAATGATTGATCACCATGATTATCCGATGAGCTTACAAGAAATTAAATTTATTGTTAAGTGGTACATACGAGTCGGGATTAAATAATTTTATTTTAAATTTGAAAAACTCGGGTTTTTTGCCTTCAACGGAAAAGCAGTGACCACAAGATGGCACCTGCTATGCGATTCTTGAGAAGACAATAATTTTGAGAACTTTATTTGTTTTTTAAATTTCAAATAAAAAATAATCAATTAAAAATGACAATTAAGTGTGTAGCGCATATGGATAAGGTGGACAGAGATGATTTTATTTCTCATTGTGAAGTTTTTCAAGTGTCAGTGATTTCGGAAGTGTTTTTTATTGCCGATGTGATGGTAAAAAACGTGAGGTGGCGTGTGATGTGCAATCTTGGTAGGGGTTATTTTGAAAGGTTGATCAAATTGCTAATTGAATTTCTTGAAGGATGTTTTATAAAAATCGGAAATATTCACAAAAAATGAGTTTCTTGTTCTCTCTGAGACATGTAGTTGTTATCTTTATTATGATAACTATTTAAACCTAAAATCAATGTTTATTAATAGTGATTTAATATCATCTTGCACATTACCTTCTATTATTGTTCATATCTTCAGGATCTTCTCTTACATGAAGTAGCAATTTGAACATATATCTCATAAGATCCCAAAAGGAAAAAGTTGTGTATATATTTCGGTCTAGATTATTGCGATTCATTTGCTCGCGGCATAAAAAAAATTACTACCCCGCAATCTGTCATTAATTAACAATTTTTTAAATTTCCCATAAACATGAAGAAATGACATTTTGTGAAAATTGATGAAGACCATTAATTTTTTCAATCTCGAGTGAAAAGTGAAATAAAAAAGGTGAAAAGTGAATTTAAAAAAGTGAAAAGTGAAATAAAAAAAGTGAAAAGTGAAAAAGTGCTCAAGGGATTGAGGAAAGGGTTTCGTGGGGGAATCAGTGCTTGTTTAGTGTCAATAACGTTCAATTGCCTTCGAGGGACTTCAGGATCAGGATTGACAGTGGATATTCAGTGTTGCAGCCAAAGACGGTACGAGAGATGAAAACCAAATTGTCGTTTTCATCCAACACCGGTGAGTCATTCTCGTTTTTTTATTAAACCATTTCATAGTTAAATATCCTATTGGCCCCCTAATGGCGAAGAATTCTTATCGAGAGCTGCTCCTAGCGTTGCGCAGCGATTTCGTTAGCCAAAAGATAAAAGGTAGAAAACCATTCGGGTAATCGCTAAGTTTTCAAAAAATATTCCTGAATCTAATGGAGATGCCGAAATTTTAAGAACAACTCTTTTTGTAGTTCTTACTACACTTT